TTGGTGGCGTCACTTTTACCATTCTAGAGTTATGCCCCTTTACAAATGGAAAAATTGCTGAATTTTTCGTTTCCGTTCTCTAACTTAAGTTTGCCTCAACCAAACGTTATGAAACTTATATGCACAATGCTGATTACTACAAAACACAGATCAAGTGTGAATTTTGGTGGCGTCACTTTTACCGTTCTAGAGTTGTGCCCTTTACAAATAATTGCTGAATTTTTCGTTTCCGTTCTGTAACTTAAGTTTGCCTCAATCAAATGTTATGAAACTTATACACAATGCTTATTACCACTTAACTCAGATCAAGTACAAATTTGATCAAATTTGGGTAGCGTCACTTTTACTGTTCTTGAGTTAATTCCCTTGATAACGTTAAATGCAAGTGGGGGCATCATCTGTGTCCAATGGACACATTCCCCATTTATTTTTAACACTTCTCAAATACTTCTGAAGGGAATAACTTTTTTTTGGCCAACGTCTTGGCAGTGATGAGTTGTTACTTGAGTCCTATTTACATCTGTTTAACTCCTTCCTGTTTTCCTGAGTTGGGATATGGTTAACAGGACAATGGGTGCATTCTTGTTTAGAGCAAAAATTCCCAGTAATAGATCTGTTGTCACAGCCTAAATTATAGGGTCTAGGTTAAAAGTGAAAATTGGTGAACAATCTGCAAGTTAAAAGTTGAATTAAATATTTTGCTAGTTTCAACATTGTATCTGATCGAGAGTCGTCTCATTGGCAATCATGCCATGTCTAGTGTTACAAAGTTTCCATTTGTCATATGTCAGATGTCCTTGACCTCCTTTTCATGGTTCAGAAATAACTTTAAAATGTGTAAAGCTATTGTATAATGTGAATTTCTATCTTTTTATGAGTAAAACAATAACTAGTTGGTATATTGGATCCTAGCAAGCTCTAAATGCTCTTCAGACAGATCAGCATAGGGTTCAACTGACCTCATCTCATGAATTGGTGATCTTGCTTAAAATTTTCGTGATTATGTATTTCAGAGATACTACAAGCCGGTGGTAAATTTTATTTGGTGTACACGTCTGTCTGGCATGTTTCATCTAATCTTGATCTCATTTTCATGGTTCATTGATCAATGTTAAGTTTTGTGGTTCAGTCAGTTTCTTAGATATAATTAAGCAATAGGTCAACTATATTTGATCTATGGAATTATAGTATGATATGTAGGTCTAGCAATGTTCATCCGACATGGACCTCATTTTCATGGTTTCTTTGGTCAATGTCCAGATTTTTGGTGGTTGATTCTGTTTATCAAATACTATAAGCAATAGGTTAACTATATAAAATAAAGAGATATTAAAGTCAACTATCCATCTGAAAAACAAATGAAGTAGAAAAGATGTTGGCAACTATAGGTCACCATACGGCCTACAACAATGAGCAAAACCCATACAGCATAGCAAGCTATGCCAGGCCCTGACATGACAAAATATAGAACAATTCAAACGAGAAAACCAACTGTCTGATTATGTACAAAACAAAGAATGAAAACTAATAGGATATATACAACAACAAACGACAACCTGTTTGGTGTATTGAATGATTGTAAGCTGTACATGTCTGTCTGGCAGGGTTCATTTGACCTAAGCCCTTGTTTACATGGATTATTATTAATGATAAGTTTATGTGATACTTTCAACATAAAATCAATCATGATCATTATCATATATTTGTATGAACCAATCCAAACTAACGATTAATATAGCAAACTTTCAAGAAATCGTCGAGACTCCAATGGCAAGGTTGCACAGATTGTTTCTAAACTTTAGTTGCACCAACAATCCACCCACTCACATTTAGAACTTGAGTAAATATAGCCCTGCTCTGACAAAAAATAGTGCTTTTTATACGACCGCAAATTTTTGCGGTCGTATATTGGTATGACGTTGGCGTCATCGTCGTCGTCCGAAGACACATAGGTTTTCGCACAATAACTTTAGTTTAAGTGAATGCATCTCTATGAAATTTTACCATAAGGTTCAATACCACAAAAGGAAGGTTGGGATTGATTTTGGGGGTTATGGTATCAACAGTTAAGGAATTAGGGGCCAAAAATAAGCATTTTTGTAACTTCCAGACAATAACTTGTGTGTTAGTGTATGGATCTCTCTGACATTGTTCCACAAGGTTCCATATCACAAAGGGAATGCTGGGATTGATATTGGGGGTAATTTCCTCAAAATTTTAGGAATTAGGGGCAAAAAAAGGGGCAAAAAACAAGCATTTTTCTAGTTTCATGACAATAACTTGTGTGTAAGTGTATGGATCTTTCTGAAATTGTACTACAAGGTTCCATATCACAAAGGGAAAGCTGGGTTTGAGTTAGGGGGTAATTGCCCTAAACGTTTAGGAATTTGGGGCCAAAAAGGGGCCAAAAAACGCATTTTTCTAGTTTCCACACAATAACTTGTGTTCAAGTGTATGGATCTCTCTGAAATTGTACTGTAAGGTACCATACCACAAAGGGAAGGCTGGGATTGAGTTTAGGGGTCATGAATCATAAGGGGGTTCAAAAAAGTTGAGGGGGGGATTTATTTTCCTTTTGTAAGTTGGTTATTTCCGATTTATATATAAAGGCAAATAATAATGATAATATGGTTTGATTTCATCAAAAATTGAAATATTGGGGTTCTTTGATATGCTGAATCTAACCGTGTATTTTGATTCTTAATTTTTGGTCCCGTTTTCAAATTGGTATACATTAAGGTCCAAAGGGTCCAAAATTAAACTTAGTTTGATTTTAACAAAAATTGAATTCTTGGGGTTCTTTGATATGCTGAATCTAACCGTGTATTAATTCTAACCATGTTTTTAGATTTTTTATTTTTGGGCCCCGTTATCAAATTGGTCCACATTGAGGTCAAAAGGGTCCAAAATTAAACTTTGTTTGATTTCATCAAAAATTGAATTCTTTGGATTCTTTGATATGCTGAATCTAACCATGTATTTAGATTTTGGATATTGGACCATAATAGGTAAATTAATTTTTTTAAGTTCTTAGACCACATTCATTCTGTGTCAGAAACCTATGCTGTGTCATATATTTAGTTACAATCCAAATCCAGAGCTGTATCAAGCTTGAATGTTGTGTCCATACTTGCCCCAACTGTTCAGGGTTCGACCTCTGCGGTCGTATCAAGCTGCGCCCAGCGGAGCATTTTATTGTGATTTTGTTTACTTTAAACCCGAAAAAGAATTTACATGAATGAAACTTTAGCTGAATGGGAAATATATTTTGAGCCCAAATTTACTTGTGCATGAATTGGAATTCCAATTTAAGGGGAAATCTGGTACATAGTATGCTAAATGAGATTTTCAGAAAACAAGAGTGCTTTATATTTATTTTATCAATATGCACAGTTAATGTCACGACAAAGGAGCAATTGAAATATATCATGACACAGTGTTGATAAAATTATGAAATTCAAATTTATATAGACTCGAGTCCAACATATATGTTTCCTGATACAAGTAGGTATGGTTGACCTACATCTCATATTCATCGACTTAGTCAGTTAGGTCAAGTTTTTACGTATTGGGGATGTTACTGAATAATGGCAAAGTATAACTAAAATGCACATTGGGTAATTCTGACCTACATCTCATTCTTTTATTTTGAATGTGCAAAATCATTCAGTTTTCAGGTACTTGCTGCCCTAAATTGTTAAAAGGGACAATTAGAATCTCAATTCCAATAAGGACAAACAACAGCATCACCAAATAGAAAAATAGACAACAAGTCAAACAACGGGCTACAATCTTACTTAGAAAACAGTAGATTGAACAATAAGGACAAACAGCAGCATCACCATAAACAAAAATAGTCAAACAACGGGCTACAATCTTACTTAGAAAACATGAGATAGAACAATAAAGACATACAACAGCATTGCCATAAACAAAAATAGTCAAACAACAGCCTACAATCTTACTTAGAAAACATGAGACTGAACAATAAGGACAAACAGCAGCATCGCCATAAACAAAAATAGTCAAACAACGGGCTACAATCTTACTTAGAAAACATGAGACTGAACAATAAGGACAAACAGCAGCATCGCCATAAACAAAAATAGTCAAACAACGGGCTACAATCTTACTTAGAAAACAGTAGATTGAACAATAAGGGCAGTATAACAGCTCCTTTACAGAAGTTTGTTTACTCTGATCTGGTACTAATACATCTATTAATCCTAGATTATATTACATGATTAACAAACAAGGTCATGTTTTTCTCTGACTGTTAATGACGTCTTTACACTAAATCCATGTTGGATGTGTACTGATTGATATTTTAGTCTTAGATACATGATTTTTTTTATAAGTTGTTATTGACTTTGAACTAGCTGTCCATAACTGCAAGTACTCTCAGATCTGTACTTAGTGTCTTTTTTGTTGTTCGGGATGAGGAATGGATATATATACCTGCCACGCCCTGTCTGTGGTTTTGTTTGATGTTTTTCTATGTATCGATCTGATTTTCAACTGATTTTTATAGTTTGTTCTTATGGTGTGCTCTTACACCACTGTCCCAGGTTAGAGGAGGGTTGAGTGCTCGCAAACCTGTTTAACCCTACCACATTCTTTATGTGCCTGTCCCAAGTCAGGAGCCTGTAGTTCAGTGGTTGTTATTGGTTCACGTCTGTCATATTTGTTTTTTTTTGTAAACTGTTTTCTAATAAATTAGGCAGTAAGTTTTCTCAATTGAATTGTTTCATATTTTTCATGTCAGGGCCTTTTATAGCCGACTATACAGTATGGGTTTTTCTCATTGTTGAAGGCCGTACCGTTGCCTATAATTGCTTACGTCCACTTTATTTGAACTTTGATGGATAGTTGTCTCATTGGCAATCATACCACGTTCTCCTTATTTTTATATAAACAGTTTAGATTGTTGTGAGTGCTGTAATTTGCCATAAGGAATGAAACCAACAAAATAGAGCTTAAATAAAACGTACAAATAACAATTATCTATTTAGAATTTATTCTAGACAGAATAACATAAAAAATAATACACATTTATAAAACCTCTTGTCAGATTGAGTATTGTCATCAGAATACTAGTTTTTAGCTAAATATATTATCTATGTAATGATACTCTGTCATCTAAGCATTTATAAACCAAATTATGTCCTGTTAATTTTAACTTTAACCAGGTAAGACGACCTGTAGGATCTAACTGTGCCTACTTGTAGATAAATCTCCAACAAACTTAAGTGCTGCAGTTAATTCTTTCTTAATTTAAAAAATTATAAAAACAAATGGCTTCTTCAAATCATTTGGAATAGTTTTACTGACACAATACACTTTATTATAGTATATATTTGTGAATGGATGCATGGTAGTGGAGATCTTACAATCAACATGGCTGTCAACTACTTAGGTACATAGTCTGACAAAGGACCTGATGGAATATATGCATTTATTGATTCTTGAAAAGAGTTTCAAAGAATAGTGTTCTTTTCAACAATTACCTGTTAATGAATTTTTAATTTTATCTTTTTTTTTGCACCAATCCTTTCTAGATTCTCAAACACTTAACTGGCTAATGCATTATTTAAGAATTGAATGCTTCTTTTTGTAAATTTATTGGGGTTTAAAAGCGTTGACCGAAGTACATTTTTGTATGTAGTGTGGAACGCTTTTACAACCCTATAAAATTACTAAAAGAAGCATTCAATACTCATAATTAGATTTTTTTTAGCTAGGATCATGAAAACACGATTTCTATCAAGTTTTTCTTTTGTTTACCTGTGCACTTTATTGTGGAAGCTTGCGTCATCATGAATGTTACATATTATGTTAAAATGAAGATTAATTTCAGAATGACGTGAGATTGCTGTTAGCCAATCAAAATAACGTGTTATAATGAAACATACATGAAATGTAATTATTATCTCATGTGCCTACTAATAGAAGAATTTTACAATAAAAAAAAATCATGATTTCAGAATCACACATCATGAGATCATAAAACATAATTGCCAAGACAACACAAAGTCTTTGAATTGTAGTTGGGTTTTTTTCTCAAATATTTAGCAGATTACTAGAACTAGAAATTGAAAAAGGTGAAAGTGCAAAATAACATTGGTACTAAATTTGGTAGATAATAATGACTGACATGTACCATAAACTGTAGTGAATATCTGTTACCGAAAACAAAACATTCTAAAGAACTTGAAACTGTGAGTGACAGACTATGAGAGGAAAGGCACATTAAATCATAACTAAATGACATAATCATACAAAATAAGCAGCTAACTGTGACATTTTGTCTTTAGGTTTTCCTCTCCCTCGACCTCTTGACCTTCCTCCTCTACCACGTCCACCTCTACCAGCTGATCTACTAGCACCTCCTCTTCTTTTCATTATTGCATGATGTTTTTCTACCAATGGTTTAAATACTGGGTCACAAAATACACAGCCTGAGTGTTCAGTTTCATCTCCTTCTAGTGGTGTTTTGCCCTAAAATACATTAATGAATATAAAAAAACATACAAAATACAATGATTTACCTAATTCTTATAGTATCATTGTATTAAACAAATCGACTTTTCAACATATCTAAAAAAAAACACAAGAGAGAGAAGATACATGTACCAAAGGGGCAACAAAAACCATAAGTAGAAGAAAACAGACCATATATACTATGATCAAAATAGAAAAACAGACCATATATACTATGATCAAAATAGAAAACAGACCATATATACTATGATCAAAATAGAAAAACAGACCATATATACTATGATCAAAATAGAAAAACAGACCATATATACTATGATCAAAATAGAAAAACAGACCATATATACTATGATCAAAATAGAAAAACTAAACAGAAAACTAGAGTGAGCACCATGAACCCCACCATCAAATCTGGGGTGAACTCAAGTGTCTATGAAGGGTAACATGTGACACCTGATAAAGTGAAGAAAACTTCAAATGCAATATGGTGAATTTTCTTATTTCTATCTAAACTGCTTTTCTCAATAATCTCAAACAATTTCCTTTTATACAGTAGAATATAAGGTAAAGAGAGGACAAAGTGAAGCAACCCCTTACACTCCCAAAAAATTGAAATGTCTGTATACTAATATTGCCAATCACTATCAACCTTGTAATCAACTTGATCTTTGACCCCCGACAGTTGAATGGAGGAGGAGTCAGACTATTATTGCAGTATTTCCTTCAACACCTTGCTAGGGAAAAATATCCAGTGCCAAGTTATTCAAAAGTTATCCACTGGGGTAGCCACTGTGAAGGAGGAATATTTCAACAGCTAAAAGATGATTGCCTTATTCAAGATGACATGCAGCCTGAGAACACAGTTATTTCGTAGACAAAAATGCATATTAAAAAAATCGCACCAGCTCTATCCAAAAAAGATTTTATAGTGTAGTGTACTACTTTTGGGACAAATTATATCAAAATTAAAGAAAAGTCTATTAGCTCTAATTAAAAAAATAGACAATTACATGTTAAGGGGCCTATAAATCAGTTTGACAGCTTCAGACATACTAATTTTTTACCTTTTCAAATTGGACCAAATAACTACTTTACCTAAAATTTCATGCGCCAAATGTTTTGTACATGTAATTTCATCCTTGTACTTACTATATTATGCATAAAATATAAAGAAATACATTTGGAACGTGTATGTAAAAAATATGCAAGTTATACACTTTCCAGTCTATTTGTAGACATTGACAACAAAAAAAACAAAGGATGATAACTGTGTACTTGGACCATGTATATAGGTATAAAACCTACACACCTTGCTAAAATCTACGTTGACAATGTGTGAACCAATCTTCACATGTATATTGGTTTAAAACATCCAAACATTGCAGAAATCTACATTAACAATATGTGAACCACAATCTTCACATGTATATAGATATAAAACATACATACCTTGGTGAAATCTACATTAACAATATGTGAACCACAGTCTTCACATATATATAGATATAAAACATACATACCTTGGTGAAATCTACATTAACAATATGTGAACCACAGTCTTCACATATAATAGGTATAAAACATATTATTACATGCCTTGCTGAAATCTACATTAACAATATGTGAACCACAGTCTTCACATATATATAGATATAAAACATACATACCTTGCTGAAATCTACATCAGCAATATGTGAACCACAGTCTTCACATGTATATAGATATAAAACATACATGCCTTGCTGAAATCTACATTAACAATATGTGAACCACAGTCATCACATATATATAGATATAAAACATACACACCTTGCTGAAATCTACATTAACAATATGTGAACCACAGTCATCACATGTATATAGATATAAAACATACATACCTTGCTGAAATCTACATTAACGATATGTGAACCACAATCTTCACATGTATATAGATATAAAACATACATACCTTGCTGAAATCTACATTAACGATATGTGAACCACAGTCTTCACATATATCTTCTGATACTGATACTTTATGGGCGTTGTCAAAAAAGTTGATCACAACATTACACCTATAATTAAATTGAAATTACATGTACCCACACAATTTAAGGTGTCTTTTTAAAGTTTATTAATAAACTTATTTTAATAAACAAGAGCCTGAATCTGGTGATTCACTATCAATTTGATAACCAGAACAAATCCCGGAAATGAATCTGGAATCACTTGTACTTTAGCATTAACGTGAAACTACCAGTTTTTATTTTGTCTTCAAAATCTAAAAAGGCTTGGCGTTTCCTGAGAAATTTACAGTTTTAGAGTCATTAAAATCCTTTCAATTTAAAACTGTTCCATTCCATAGAAAATCTGTTGCATTTTTGAGAAAAAATCATAAGGAAATTCCCGCAGTAAATGCGATGAAACAGTAATACAAGTTCATTGATGCCATGAATCTAATGTGAATATTTTTCGACAGTTTGAAAAAAACTCCAGTAATTTTAAAGCGTAAGTTATCGTTTTGCAGTATTTTCATAGAAAATCCCGTTTTCTATCATCAAGAAGATGTTGAAAAATGCTTTAAAATGATTCTGGAACACTGCATTGAGTGTTGAAATTAGCCAAAATCACAAGAAAAACAATTGTAAAAAGTTGTATTTGGCATAAATGGATATCGGAATAGAATGTGTAAATCCCAAACAAGTACTGTGAGAGTATGCAGAAAATCCGTTCTTAATAGATATCATAAAGAATACGACTTTGAAACTAAAACAGTTCCATCCTTGAGTGAAATACTGTAAAATATATTCATCACATTAATGTTTGACGGACCTTCAGCTTTAATTAAACACATGCAGCAGTATCAAACACCAAAACGGAACGAATAACCGATTAAATTTTGTAGTTTATACATTGTTATGCATAAGCTGGTTCCCGGCTAATTTCTTCACTTTTTTTTCGTAGCGTTGTTAACAAGCGGATTCCAGTTTTAAGTTATATTCCATGTTATGAAAAGAAATGAGAAACTTGTAAAGACGCATTTGATTTTGATACATATCAGTTAATATTGGATTTTTAAATAAAAATTGGATATTGATATGGATTAGATAAATTAATAATAGTTTTGAAAAGAAATAAGGGAGCCCTTTACAATTTCAATAACAAACATCATGATATCAAGTTTTTCTCCTAGTACTTGCTTATAGTACTCTATAATCTGCACCCCTGCCTAGCAATGTTAATATTGGAATAAAAATCCACGGACAATAGAAGACTGAATTTGGTAATTTCATGATTATATCCATTTCCATGGTCTAGAAAAAAGCCTATTTTCGGAATATTTCATCTGACTAAACTGTGTGACAAGAGTAGAAACAATAACCCAAATATGTCTCAAAACAAAATTATTTGAAGAAGTCTGCAAAACTGTACTCCAAGCCCTATAAAGTCATCTTACTTATTGCAGGCCATTCTCCATTTTGGGGCTGACGTCTGATCTAGCACCAAGATACCATTCTCACATTCTACACATTCTGATACCCCCGTCTGTGATAGTCCATGCTGACATGTTGGATGGGTACACTCATTACAACCATTTCCTTTCCTCATGTCTTTGAATGGTGGATTATTGTAACAATAAGGACATAGAGGGTAGCACTGTAAAATAATAATCATTTCTAATCGTTGTTAACAGATGTAGCACTGTAAAATATTAATGAATGGTGGATTATTGTAACAATTAGGACATAGAGGGTAGCACTGTAAAAAAATAATCATTTCTTATCATTGATAACAAAGGGTAGCAATTTTAAATAATAATTAATGGTGGATTATTGTAACAATAAGGACATAGAGGGTAGCACTGTAAAATAATAATCATTGATAACAGAGGGTAGCACTGTAAAATGCTTTTTCGAGGGGTATCATTCTGCTCTATCACCCTCTCAGCTATGTGTTATTTAATTTATTATACTGAATGTTCTATCATTATTGTCTTTTACAGATTAATTTTATTTTAAAAGTATTTTCTATGACGTCACGTACATAACAACGTTACTAGACTAGGGTATTAGAAAAAACAACAAAAAAGAGGCAAGATGTTTTATTTTTTTATTTTGACAGTCATATAATAAAATCTGAGCCAAAACGTAAAACTTAAGCATTGTCTTTAATTACTTGATGTGAATTCAATTCATTGTCCTTTAAATTATCGATTTTTGATTGATCTGGACGAGAGGGTGACATTCAAAAAAATTGTCACCCGCTCAGCCATGTGATAGAGTAAATTAACACCCTCGTATTAGCCAATCAAAATATGGCATTTTAACGTGAAGTATAATAATGTAAAATAATAATCATTTCTAATCATTGATAACAGAGGGTAGCACTGTAAAATAATAATCATTTCTAATCATTGATAACAGAGGGTAGCACTGTAAAATAATAATTAATGGTGGATTATTGTAACAATAAGGACATAGAGGTAGCACTGTAAAATATTAATGAATGGTGGATTATTGTAACAATAAGGACATAGAGGGTAGCACTGTAAAATAATAATTATTTCTAATCATTGATAACAAAGGGTAACATTTGAAGACAGTTTAGTGGTATTGATTGAATGTTCAGTAATATCACCTGTATATTCAGAACTTTTTATTATCATATGACCTTACTTACAGAAAAATACTGCTGACAGGATTCTGGGCCTTTATATCACAACATGACAGTCCAGTTATCTTAGTCAGGGACTTTATATCACAACATGACAGTACAGTAATTTTAGTCAGGGACTTTATATCACATGAGTCCAGTATTTTTACAGTTAGGAACTTTCTATCACAGCATGACAGTCCAGTAATTTTAGTCAGGGACTTTATATCAAAACATGACAGTACAGTAATTTTACAGTCAGGGACCTTATATCACATGACAGTCCAGGAATTTACAGTCACAGAATTTATATCACAACTGTTTATATAGTCAGGTAATCACAACATGACAGTCTAGTTATTTTACAGTCAAGCACTTTATATTACAACAGGACAATCCAGTAATTTAAGTCATGGATTTTATATCACAACAGGACAGTCCAGTAATTTCACATTCAGGGACTTTATATCACAACATCACAGTCCAGTTATTTTACAGTTAAGAACTTTATATCACAACATGACAGTCCAGTAATTTTACAGTTAGGGACTTTATACAACAACATGACAGTACAGTAATTTTACAGTTAGGAACTTTATATCACAACATGACAGTCCAGTAATTTTACAGTTAGGGACTTTATACAACAACATGACAGTCCAGTAATTTTAGTTAGGGACTTTATACAACGACATGACAGTCCAGTAATTTTACAGTTAGGGACTTTATATCACAACATGACAGTTCATTAATTTTACAGTTAGGGACTTGAAATGTTTATACATTCTGGCCAAATAACACTGTTGCAGTATAAAATAGACATACTTTTCCCTTTACCCCAGTTGTCCATAAAACTAATTCATAATCATCCAGTGGACATTTTAATTCTTTATAAAGTTTGATATTTCCATTCTGTGGCAGTGTGAATGTATCGTCACAGTTAGAACAATGGAGACGACTAGGTTTTGCTTGGATGAATTTCATAAAACGACGACATTTACCACATCTGAAAAATACAGTTCAAAAAGTGACCATTAATTTTGGTGTATGAATCTTCAAATCTATTTACACCCTTCTGGCCAACAAAAAAGGAAAAAAAGAAGGAAAATGTAGCCAATATTAAATTTCAAAATAAATATCTTATATATTATTTATATTGAATGATTTTGGGCACATAATTTCAAAAGAAATGACGAAAAAGTGAAAACTGAACTAACCTTAAAATTGATTGACACTACACTTCAAACATACATAACAAAAAAGTGGACTCCTAGCCAATAGATTATATACATATATAAAGAAGTGTTTGGGTATTTGTGTTGTTGCTTTCTCACTGATGAATACCCCACTTCTCCTTGTATTTATAACAACAAAACAAAGTTTACTGCCAGAGAAAATATGTACCTTGACAAAGGTTTACCACTAGCAGCCAGTGATGAAAATGTCACTTCAAACAACTCATCCATCCCATTTATATTCTCCACAAAATATTTAAATTTTAGTCTGAAAATGTTGAGTGCATGGTGTAGAACATCCTGAAAATCTGCTTTGCCATGTGCAATGAGATTCAATTGTTTTTCTACAGCAGACCTCATGGTAGACAACACTAGTTCTTGATCGATCTGAAAAATTATTCAAAAATAATTTTAAAACTTCCAACAGATCATTTTCTTGGTATCAATACATGATTTAAATGATAATTTTACCATCAAAACAATACTTAAAACAGAATTTACCTGCTTATGAAATGTCCAAGGATAAATCTATCCGATTTAATTTTACTAGGTACTAATAAACTAATAAATTTTTAAGTAAAAGAGGGAAGTATTGCCAAGGGTAAATAATACTACATGTAGTAATGTGTTTTATACTGGACCAGTAATATAAATTCATTCCCTGCAGGTTTCAACTGCAAGTTTACAATTTCATAATTTTTCTTAATTTAAATGATGATTTATGTCAGCACTCATGGTCTAATGGTATCATGCATAGACTGAAGACTTTAATGATTGGCGATGAAAATACGTTCGAACCCTTCATATGAAACTCGTTTTTGAAAGGATAAAAGATCGTAAGTTAAAAGTTATATCATAAGTTATCTTAAGTTAACAAAGTGGTCAGTGGATTCTTAACAAATAATCTACAGTAAGAACAATAGACTAACGTTAAAGAAATGGGTTAAGTATTAATAAATGAAAAGTAAAATAACAAAAATATCGAACTCCAAGGAAAATTCAAAACGGAAAGTCCTTTATCCAATGCCAAAATCAAAAGCTCAAACATATCAATCGAAAGGAAAACAACTGTCATATTCCTGACTTGAAAGCATGAAAATATTTTGAAATTTTATCCCTTGGTCTGTTGGTATGAAAAATGCATTTTAACTCCACACTCCTTCAACCACTTTTGTGCTATGTTTTAATCTTTCAGAGGCTGTCTATACATATTATTATCTTCTGAAGAATTAATTCAGAGAAGAACTCTGTAAACAATACAACTAGTTTGTATCTTTCATCTTTGAATTACAAAGATTCAAATTATGTCATCTAATTTCAGAATTTAATTCCAATATGAATTTTTCATTTCCCTCAATCATAAAACCTCTCTCCTATATTACTGTGCAATTATTTATTTTCTTTGATTACGATTTTTCGTACATTTATGAAAAATTGTATTTTTGTGGATATTTAATTACCTTGATTTGCCAAAGTCTGCATACAAGCATATGTAATTATTTAACTTCATTGAAAATGTAAATTTGTTGTTAACCTACGCCAAGAAAATTGGTATCTCACAAATTATAATGAATCCACACTATTACCTTTTGATAACCATGGACCAACACTATTCCCAGTGGTGTGGGTTTGAGCTTACGTCCAGCTATAACATTGACATAGTTTCTCTCACAAATATTATTTATATGTACAGATATACTGGCATCAGTTCCTATGCCATGTTTCTCCATCAGTGTGATCAATTCACTTTCTGTTAAATAATCTGGTGGGTTGGTCTGTCTCTCCGCAAGCTTGGCCTGCAAACAATGACACAACAGTGTATAAATCTTTACTGAAACTGTGACAATCAATGTTGATTCAATGTAATTACAAGGTTAAATAAATGACTTACAAGTCAATAATACATCAGCAATGATTTAAGCTTATTTTGACAAAATTGAACAAAACTGACTGCTAATAGCGAAATTTTATTTTCAAATTTTGCTTTTATTCATTTTTTAAACATAAAAAAATCATATTTTCATTTTTTGGTCTTTTTTAGCATATGCCCCTTTACAGCACCATAAGAACAGCATTAGCAATGCTCTTCAGTTCATATATATTACATCCACCATATACCCTATTTCTTTAGTAGCCTGAATTATGATCAACACCATCCTGTTTTGACGGTTGATACATACATAGCAGGAGACGATTATCTTGTTCTATAACCTGGTTTCATTCCTTTTGCAGTTCAACAATTCCCTCAGTTTTTGTTTATTACCTTGATTTGTCTTTTTAATCTATTTAGGAGATTTGAACATTGGTAAACCACTGTTGCCTAAATTTTTCATAATTTGTGGATAGAATACTTCTGTTCTTTTAAACTTATCATTTTAGAACTAACTTCTTCAAGGCTGAATGTTTGATCCTTTTTAAACTCTGGCAGTGTTTCATCATCCATAGCTTTCCATGTCATGACAGATGTGAACCCTGGATCTACAATCACCTGACCTGTACAAGAAAATTTCTCAGGACCTATCTCAAAATACACTTTTGTCTGAAGATATTTACAATCTGGCATTATCTGAAAATGAAAATTATAAACAATTATAAAAGCATAACATCTCTATAAATCATAACCTTTCTCAAACCTAAATTCTAAATTTTAGTTCAATTCGAGCACTTTACTTTGGTATTAACAACATAAAATTCTATATTAAAAAAAGGGTGAAAAAAAAAAATCAATACGTCATTCCCATATATATATATTAGTTAAGGATGTATTCTTCTGTTGTTTCATCTCGTTGAAATCTCATTCAGGAATTATTTCCAAAACATGTGATACGAGTGGAAAATATCAATGAATTTAAAAAATAAATATAATCAAACTAAACTCTGTGAAAAAATTGTGTACTTACAATAAGTAGTTTTTGAGAAATAAAATTTTCAAATTTTATAACCAATCCGGTCAGTGTCATCAGACAAAATGTTGAGAAAATGGGTGAGTGGTACAAAGAAATGATTTTACCAAAAATATGTACATTCCATATCAATTTTTTCTTTTCAAAATTCTTAGATATGTATTTTTTCAATCATTTTAACAAAGAAGTTAAAATAATATGCTTTTTGTTCTAAGAAAATGAGAAAAATCCTAAATTTACAAAATTGACAGCATGGTCAATTTGACAAGAAAAAGCAACAAAATTTCATAAAACTTTCTAACATTAACACCAACCTATAGTTTATTTAAGTTAATTTTATTCAGATTGGTCCACTTCATCTTAAGTGAAAGTATGAAAAAAGTTTAATTGTGAAACTGTGATTTTTTTCATGAAAATAGCCCAAAAATGGGTAAAAATTGATGAAAATGGGAAAATCAGTAAAAATGGGATACTTTCAAACGGCCGTAGCAAAAAAAGAAGTGCACCACCATATGATATTTACTTCATCAATTACTTTCTTACAGTCATAAAAACTCAAAAATCAGGTTAAGAACAAAGTTTAATTCTAGAAATTTTTGGCTCCTCAGAGGTGTACATCCTTAAAGAGTAAATATAAAAATCCTTAAAACAAAAATGAAGCATGCCTTCATGGAGACAAAAAACAGATATCTGATTAACACAAATATGGGAAATATGTTTAATAGATGAGCAGACTACAATTAATGTCTTGTTTGTATGGATTTGCACTTTTTGTCAAGTCATAGTCTTTTATAGCTGACTATATGGTATTGGTTTTGCTCATTGTTGAAGGTCCTACAGTGACCTTTAATTGCTTACATCTACTTCATTTGGTCTCTGGTGGATAGCTGTCTCATTGGCAATCATACCACATCTTTTAATTTTTATAAAGTAAAAACAAATGGACAATGAGTCCATGGGACAAAGATGATGCCTCCGCTTGCATATAATGTCATAAAGGGACATAACTAGAGAGCTGTAAAAGTGACGCCACCCAAATTCGAACTTGATCTGTGTTTTACGATAATAAGCATTGTGTATAAGCGTCATAACATTTGGTTGAGGCAAACTAAAGTTTGAGAATGGAAACTAATTTTGGGAGGTACGGACAGACAAGGGTTACACTTAATGCCCCCTCCGCTGCGGTGGGGGCATAAAAATGTGAAAGTCTTTATAGTGTTTTACATGTGTATATGATTTTGATTGTGTTCTAGAACCCTTGGTATGCCATTTAAGGTCAAGACATTAAAAAATATACGAATGTCCATCCCAAATCAATCCATTGTTATTGATAAGTCCCCTGCAACTTTTAAAGTGTCCCAAACAACAGTCACATAGTTTTCAATATAAAAATGAGGAGATGTGGTATGATTGCAAACGAGACAATTATCCACTAGAGTGGAAATGTTCAGATTAGCATAAACCTTCTTCAGGTGGAGTAACAAAAACCAATTCTTTTATAAATTGTTGTAGGAAAAATAGGGATTAACAAAGTGGACACTATCTGAAAATTTTATTAAAATAATACATTATAACTTTCAAGGGGGGAATGGAAAACATCATTAAAGAGCTCAATCTTTGAAAGTGATCGGTAGTTGGATATGAAGGACTAAAATGTTGATCTTCTGAAACTATATAACATAGTATAAATGTTGATCTTCTGAATCTGTATAACATAGTATAAATGTTGATCTTCTGAATCTGTATAACATAGTATAAATGTTGATCTTCTGAATCTGTATAACATAGTACAACTGTTGATCTTCTGAATCGATATAACATAGTATAAATGTTGATCTTCTGAATCGATATAACATAGTATAAATGTTGATCTTCTGAATCGATATAACATAGTATAAATGTTGATCTTCTGAATCAATATAACATGGTATAAATGTTGATCTTCTGAATCGGTATAACATAGTATAAATGTTGATCTTCTGAATCGGTATAACATAGTATAAATGTTGATCTTCTGAATCGGAATAACATAGTATAAATGTTGATCTTCTGAATCGATATAACATAGTATAAATGTTGATCTTCTGAATCTGTATAACATGGTATAAATGTTGATCTTCTGAATCTGTATAACATGGCATAAATGTTGATCTTCTGAATCGGTATAACATGGTATGAATGTTGATCTTCTGAATCGGTATAACATAGTATGAATGTTGATCTTCTGAATCGATATAACATAGTATGAATGTTGATCTTCTGAATCGATATAACATAGTATAAATGTTGATCTTCTGAATCTGTATAACATAGTATAAATGTTGATCTTCTGAATCGATATAACATAGTATAAATGTTGATCTTCTGAATCTGTATAACATAGTATAAATGTTGATCTTCTGAATCTGTATAACATAGTATAAATGTTGATCTTCTGAATCAATAAAACATAGTATAAATGTTGATCTTCTGAATCTGTATAACATAGTATAAATGTTGATCTTCTGAATCTGTATAACATAGTATAAATGTTGATCTTCTGAATCAATATAACATAGTATAAATGTTGATCTTCTGAATCTGTATAACATGGTATAAATATTGATCTTCTGAATCTGTATAACATGGTATAAATGTTGATCTTCTGAATCAATATAACATGGTATAGATGTTGATCTTCTGAATCGGTATAACATGGTATAGATGTTGATCTTCTGAATCGGTATAACATGGTATAAATGTTGATCTTCTGAATCCGTATGACATGGTATAAATGTTGATCTTCTGAATCGGTATAACATGGTATAAATGTTGATCTTCTGAATCGGTATAACATGGTATAAATGTTGATCTTCTGAATCTGTATAACATAGTATAAATGTTGATCTTCTGAATCTGTATAACATAGTATAAATGTTGATCTTCTGAATCTGTATAACATAGTACAAATGTTGATCTTCTGAATCGATATAACATAGTATAAATGTTGATCTTCTGAATCGATATAACATAGTATAAATGTTGATCTTCTGAATCGATATAACATGGTATAAATGTTGATCTTCTGAATCAATATAACATGGTATAAATGTTGATCTTCTGAATCGGTATAACATAGTATAAATGTTGATCTTCTGAATCGGTATAACATAGTATAAATGTTGATCTTCTGAATCGGAATAACATAGTATAAATGTTGATCTTCTGAATCGATATAACATAGTATAAATGTTGATCTTCTGAATCTGTATAACATGGCATGAATGTTGATCTTCTGAATCGGTATAACATAGTATAAATGTTGATCTTCTGAATCGATATAACATAGTATGAATGTTGATCTTCTGAATCGATATAACATAGTATGAATGTTGATCTTCTGAATCGATATAACATAGTATAAATGTTGATCTTCTGAATCTGTATAACATAGTATAAATGTTGATCTTCTGAATCGATATAACATAGTATAAATTTTGATCTTCTGAATCTGTATAACATAGTATAAATGTTGATCTTCTGAATCAATAAAACATAGTATAAATGTTGATCTTCTGAATCTGTATAACATAGTATAAATATTGATCTTCTGAATCTGTATAACATGGTATAAATGTTGATCTTCTGAATCAATATAACATGGTATAGATGTTGATTTTCTGAATCCGTATAACATGGTATAAATGTTGATCTTCTGAATCCGTATAACATGGTATAAATGTTGATCTTCTGAATCCGTATGACATGGTATAAATGTTGATCTTCTGAATCGGTATAACATGGTATAAATGTTGATCTTCTGAATCGGTATAACATGGTATAAATGTTGATCTTCTGAATCGGTATAACATGGTATAAATGTTGATCTTCTGAATCTGTATAACATAGTTTAAATGTTGATCTTCTGAATCTGTATAACATAGTTTAAATGTTGATCTTCTGAATCTGTATAACATAGTATAAATGTTGATCTTCTGAATCGATATAACATAGTATAAATGTTGATCTTCTGAATCTGTATAACATAGTATAAATGTTGATCTTCTGAATCGATATAACATAGTATAAATGTTGATCTTCTGAATCTGTATAACATAGTATAAATGTTGATCTTCTGAATAGATATAACATAGTATAAATGTTGATCTTCTGAATCGATATAACATAGTATAAATGTTGATTTTCTGAATCGATATAACATAGTATAAATGTTGATCTTCTGAATCGATATAACATAGTATAAATTTTGAAGTGTTAATTTCAGTTGTTGTTTCTCATTACCTTGACGGAGAAGTTTTTGTTTTAGTGTAAACATATTCTCAGTAATGAAGTCTGTATAATATGAACTTGCACATGCTTAAATAGAATCACTTGAGATATGAGCTGTGTCGGATAGTAATGGACCTTATGCAAATGAATATCAATTCATCTCTTAACCTATTTAGGGTTGAAAAAATTTCTAACCCTAGAAAATTCTGTAAAGCTTTGAAAACTGAGTTGTTATGAGAACCCTATCAAATAGACAAAAATTCATCTTTTATCACATATTTCAATGTTCCAAAATCAATCATAGTCTAATACATCTAAATCTATACGCGCACTTGCATACGGTCGATTTCTATCCAAGCAGCTCATATATAAATACCGTATATGTTGCTTTGACACAACTCTATAGCAGAACTTACTGTAGCAATAAAATATCTGGTAATAAAATCGTGAAGTCTATAGCAGAACTTACTGTAGCAATAAAATATCTGGTAATAAAGTCGTAAAGTCTATAGCAGAACTTACTGTAGCAATAAAATATCTGGTAATAAAATCGTAAACTCTATAGCAGAACTTACTGTAGCAATAAAATATCTGGTAATAAAATCGTAAAGTCTATAGCAGAACTTACTGTAGCAATAAAATATCTGGTAATAAAATCGTAAAGTCTATAGCAGAACTTACTGTAGCAATAAAATATCTGGTAATAAAATCGTAAAGTCTATAGCAGAACTTACTGTAGCAATAAAATATCTGGTAATAAAATCGTAAAGTCTCCAGTTATCTGCCCCTAACTCAGCTTCTGTTGCACTTCTCATTGGTGTGATCGGAGGATGATCCCCAGCGTCTGTTCCTTTCCTAAAAATACACAACACATTTAACTCGTAATATTTTGGCAAAATCTGATAGATTATCATGCAATAACTAATAACTTGAGTTTAATATCCATATTATTATCAATGAAAAATAAAACAAAGTAGAAGGCTTATAAAGGGTCAACATTTGTTTTAAAATAACATTTAATTGTACATTGCTTTTGAAAATTACAATTTTGACTTAGTTCTTCGTAAATTTGATAATTTTGACTTCCAGTTGACCTTGATCACATGTTCAGACCAAGGCTTCCAAAACGGTCATATATGCCGGACATTTGTATAATGTCCGGTAAAAGTCCGGCTGGGCAGAGCATGAAACGGTCATCTACTTTTTAGTTTTCAAGGCGTTAAGAGACGGTCATTTTAACATAATTCGCGATCTTTTTGACCCAACGTTTTGCCTTTAACAGCCACACATTTCCGGTCATAAAAGTGACATGATCATTAAGTACTATCAAAACAACCCCTACTTTAATACCTTCTCATTTTAATCAAGGCTAATTAGTTGTCAAACAGCTGAAATTTACCTGTTCAGGTGACAGGTAAACTATTTTGAACCGGACATTGATCGGTCTATTCAAAGTTATTTTCTTACATTTCAGCGGTTTGCATCTAATTAATTTAGTCAAAAAGATTTAAATTATCAGAAATACGTTTACAAATATGATTTGATGAAAAAATTAAAAAGGCGAAAATGAAAAATCGTCATAACCACATTGTTTGAACCTAGAGACATGAACTAGTACATGTGTGCGCATGTGCGCAGGTGTGAAATTTAATTATGCATCCTAATTTCTTCAAAAAATGCTTAAATTGTCATTGATACCTTTATCTCACGTTTATTTCGAATATTTTCTTGAAGAAATAACGTAGAAAGAGCTACTTCCACTCATTCACCCTTTGCAAACGTACACGTAATGTACGTATCCGTCTCTGGTCCATGTTTTACCATTGTCAAGATAACATCCGGTATAAAAACGAAAGTAAAGTTTTTGACAACGTTATTTTGCACAAATAAAGAGTCTAAGGCAGATATAAGTACGCTGATGTTGCACACTTCGAATGATGCACTGCCAATTTAACAGTTTACATCAGAACTTCGAATTTGAATTAAAGAAAGTGTAATATCGTTTTTTTAATGTCAATCATTGGGATGGCCAACTCAGCAACTGATTACCATAATTGCCTTTTGTTTATTTAGTCTTAAGGGATTAAAATCGGGATAATATATAAAATGTCTGGCTGGCTAAAAATAATTTTGGAAGCCCTGGTTCAGACTAACATAATTGTTTTTGTTATGCAGTGTTTAAGCTATAAAAGTAACCACTGGAATATGCAAAAAAAGTAAATATTTCATAAAAGCTGAAATAAGTAAAAGTGATATTATAGAACTCCTCATCACCTATAGTTGCCCTTTAATTAACCCATAGTTACCTTGGTCTCTGTATACCAGTACTCAATAGTTCCCTGACAATAGTTCCCCAATCGGGTGATGACTGCTGTTGCCTCAAAGTTCCCCTATAATCATCAATATCATTGTTAAACAAGACGAATATTATTTATCAGTTATAAACATTTAGTTTGAATGTGAGAATCACTAACAGTGATCCTTAAAGGGCCATTAGCTACGAGATATAAAAAATATTAAAATACGATTTTTTTGTTTGTTCAATCATTAATGAAAGTGAAATAGTGAAATAATAATTCGCTTTTAGCAGCCAATTAAGTTCAATTTGTCAAAATAAGACAAGAAACATCACTGATAAATTATTCACTTGCAAGTGAATAATTCAACCTCATTTAATCCATATCAATGTGACCTTCAAATTTAGATATTGGTTAGGCATGTATAAAGCAAGTTCAGCCATTTAAAAGGAAAAAAATGTCAACATTGAAAGTGACACAAAGATGAACCATTTCATTGACTAATTCCACACAAAACACAAACATTCTTATACAGGTAAAAACTATGATTAACTTATTTTTTTAACCTTTAACATGAAATCAAACAGACTTAGAACAAGAGTGCACACGCTGAAATGTCTAGCCTTCTTTACTAATTATTGATATTATGTTGATAGTCCTAAATATAAAGCTTTATTACAAATGTCACATAAACTTAACATTAACCAAGTAAACTAAACATTGACCAATGAACCATGAAAATGAGGTCAAGGTCAGATGAACCATGCTAGGCAGGCATGTACAGCTAACAATTCTTCCATACAACAAATATAGTTGACCTATTGCTTATAGTTTAAGAAAAACAGACCAAAACACAAATACTTAACACTGATGAGCAATGAACCTTGAAAATGAGGTCAAGGTCAAATAAAACCTGCGTGATTGACATATAGATCATAAAATATTTCCATACACCAAATATAATTGAACTATTGCATATAGTATTAGAAAAAAAGACCAAAACTCAAAAACTTAACTTTGACCACTGAACCATGAAAATGAGAGTCAAGGTCAGATGACACCTGCCAGTTGGACATGTACACCTTACAGTCCTTCCATACACCGAATATACTAGACCTATTGCTTATAGTATCTGAGATATGGACTTGACCACCAAAACTTAACCTTGTTCACTGATCCATGAAATGAGGTCGAGGTCAAGTGAAAACTGTCTGACGGGCATGAGGACCTTGCAAGGTACGCACATACCAAATATAGTTATCCTATTACTTATAATAAGAGAGAATTTAACATTACAAAAAATCTGAACTTTTTTTTCAAGTTGTCACTGAACCATGAAAATGAGGTCAAGGACATTGGACATGTGACTGACAGAAACTTCGTAACATGAGGCATCCATATACAAAGTATGAAGCATCCAGACCTTCCACCTTCTAAAATATAAAGCTTTTAAGAAGTTAGCTAACGCTGCCGCCGCCGGTTCACTATCCCTTTGTCGAGCTTTCTGCGACAAAAGTCGCAGGCTCGACAAAAATCCAATTGCACATGGTCATAATATATTTTTACTTATGTTTATGTTTATATCGAGTTATGTGACCGTTAGCAGTCTTCAGAGGTCATCTCGATGGTTAATTAGATAGCGTCTAGACTAAAATACACACAAAATATATTTTATTGACTCCATGCATTGTTAATTATTCATTTCAGACTTATTGTAATTTGGATATAGGTTTTAGTTTGTTATAAATCAAGTATGAGAATTTGAGTAAAATCAGTAAACTTGAATTTGATAGCTAATGCCCCTTTAACTAATTCATCCTCTGTAAGCTATTTCAATTTACAGCAGTGGTGTCATTACAGAGAGAGAAGGTTTTTGCATTAGTTATTTGTAAATCTACATACTTTCAGATCAATGGCTTCATTGAGCAGGTTAAAAAGTCTTTGATTAAACAGAGGTAGTCATTAATAAATCTTAATAATTGAAAAAATATTGGAATTATATGTAATAAAATAACTTACACTGAAACAAATTTCTCAGGATATTGTGTTGTTTCATTACTCCAATAACTTATAAAATAACTTACACTAAATCAAAGTTCTCATGATATTGTGTTGTTTTAGTCCTAGCATAACTTTTAAAATAACTTACACTGAATCAAATTTCTCAGGATATTGTGTTGTTTCAGTACTCCAATAACTTATAAAATAACTTACACTAAATCAAAGTTCTCAGGATATTGTGTTGTTTCAGTCCTAGGATAACTTATATAATAACTTACACTAAATCAAAGTTCTCAGGATATTGTGTTGTTTCAGTACTCAGATAACTTATAAAATAACTTACACTAAATCAAATTTCTCAGGATATTGTGTTGTTTCAGTCCTAGGATAACTTATATAATAACTTACACTTAATCAAAGTTCTCAGGATATTGTGTTGTTTCAGTCCTAGCATAACTTATTAAATAACTTACACTAAATCAAAGTTCTCAGGAAATTGTGTTGTTTCAGTACTCAGATAACTTATAAAATAACTTACACTAAATCAAATTTCTCAGGATATTGTGTTGTTTCAGTCCTAGGATAACTTATATAATAACTTACACTAAATCAAAGTTCTCAGGATATTGATTTGTTTCAGTCCTAGCATAACTTATTAAATAACTTACACTAAATCAAAGTTCTCAGGATATTGTGTTGTTTCAGTACTCAGATAACTTATAAAATAACTTACACTAAATCAAATTTCTCAGGATATTGTGTTGTTTCAGTCCTAGGATAACTTATATAATAACTTACACTAAATCAAAGTTCTCAGGATATTGTGTTGTTTCAGTCCTAGCATAACTTATTAAATAACTTACACTAAATCAAAGTTCTCAGGATATTTTGTTGTTTCAGTACTCAGATAACTTATAAAATAACTTACACTAAATCAAAGTTCTCAGGATATTGTGTTGTTTCAGTCCTAGGATAACTTATATAATAACTTACACTAAATCAAAGTTCTCAGGATATTATGTTGTTTCAGTCCTATGATAACTTATATAACAACTTACACTAAATCAAAGTTCTCAGGATATTGTGTTGTTTCAGTCCTAGCATAACTTATTAAACAACTTACACTAAATCAAAATTCTCAGGATATTTTGTTGTTTCAGTCCTAGGATAGCTTATATAATAACTTACACTAAATCAAAGTTCTCAGGATATTGTGTTGTTTCAGTCCTAGGATAACTTATATAATAACTTACACTAAATCAAAGTTCTCAGGATATTGTGTTGTTTCAGTACTCAGATAACTTATAAAATAACTTACACTAAATCAAAGTTCTCAGGATATTGTGTTGTTTCAGTACTCAGATAACTTATAAAATAACTTACACTAAATCAAAGTTCTCAGGATATTGTGTTGTTTCAGTCCTAGGATAACTTATATAATAACTTACACTAAATCAAAGTTCTCAGGATATTGTGTTGTTTCAGTCCTAGGATAACTTATATAATAACTTACACTAAATCAAAGTTCTCAGGATATTGTGTTGTTTCAGTCCTAGGATGACTTATATAATAACTTACACTAAATCAAAGTTCTCAGGATATTGTGTTGTTTCAGTCCTAGGATAGCTTATATAATAACTTACACTAAATCAAAGTTCTCAGGATATTGTGTTGTTTCAGTCCTAGGATAGCTTATATAACCTTGTGTATACAATCTCTCAGCTACCTGCATTGCATGTTGTGGACTAATACCTGTAAAATCATTCATATAATTTAAATGAAATTTTTTTATCAGGCACCATTAGATTTTGTGAAAAATTTCATCCTCAATATAGCTAATCATTTTATCATTAAGAAAGATAGCCATCTCCTTTCTGTACTTGTTGGACTAATATATTGGAAGTACCTTGTTGTTTATGACTATGACAATAAAAATGTGTTACTTTTAGATATATTCCCGAAAGTTAATTAACTTCTATTACAACTGGCAACATATGAAGAAAATTAAGATTTCATTTCACAACACCATTTTTAAACCTCCCCTTTACACTCAAACAAAACAGTAGTAAGTCCAATTTGAATTTGCAAATAATGATACTTAATTTACATCTTTTAAGTGTCCATTTTTCAGTCCAGAAAAGTGTTAAGTGAAAACCTCAGTTACAGATTGTTAATATACATCTACAGTTAAACACATTGAGAACACTGCCAGGAATTCATATAGAGTCAAACACATTGAGAACACTGCCTTGGAGTTCATACACAATCAAACACATTGAAAACACTACCAGGGGTTCATATACAGTCAAACACATTGAGAACACTGCCAGGAGTTCATACACAGTCAACCACATTGAGAAAACTGCCTTGGAGTTCATACACAATCAAAAACATTGAGAACACTACCAGGGGTTCATATAGAGTCAAATACATTGGGAACTCTGCCAGGACTTTATATACAGTCAAACACACAGAGAACACTGCCTTGGAGTTCATATACAGTCAAACACATTGAGAACACTGCCTTATAGTTTATATACATTCAAGCACATTGTGAGCACTGCCAGGAGTTCATATACAGTCAAACACATTGAGAACACTGCCTTGGAGTTCATATACAGTCAAACACACTGAAAACACTGCTAGGAGTTCATATACAGTCAAACACATTGAGAACACTGCCTTGGAGTTCATATACAGTCAAACACATTGAGAACACTGGCGGAAGTTCATATACAGTCAAACACATTGAGAACACTGCCTTGGAGTTTATATACAGTCAAACACATTGAGAACACTGCCAGGAGTTCATATACAGTCCAACACATTGAGAACACTGCCTTGGAGTAAATATACAGTCAAACACATTGAGAACACTTGCAGAAGTTCATATACAGTCAAACACATTTAGAACACTGCCTTGGAGTTCATAAACAGTCAAACACATTGAGAACACTGCCTTGGAGTTTATATACAGTCAAACACATTGAGAACACTGCCTTGGAGTTCATTTACAGTCAAACACATTGAGAACACTGCCTTGGAGTTTATATACAGTCAAACACACTGAGAAAACTACTAGGAGTTCATATACAGTCAAACACATTAAGAACACTGGCAGAAGTTCATATACAGTCAAACACATTAAGACAGTGTTCTCCCCAGGGCCTTAAAGGACCGCGGGCCCGCGATGTATATTTTTTTACCGTGGTGGTATCGTTCTTACCGCGATGTATTATATTTCTCCGTGGTGCTAAAATTTTTAGTTAAAAAATCGAAAATCGGTAAAGTTTTAAACGACTTGTTAAATCTTTTCCGTGCGGTATAAAATTCCAGGTGAAATTTGACCAGTTCAAACCAGTTCAGATTGTTTACACCACATGATCGACTTACCTTTATGAGGTTAACCTTTGTTGATTGGATTTAATCGATGTAATTAACACTTGTAAAATGATTCTTTTGTGTTTTAATTAAGAGATCATAACTTTATGATCGTAGATAACTATTTTATGGCTTCACTTACCACCTGACAAGTCGGCAAATACTTTGTACACAAACCGTGTTGACCCGATAGTTGTACACACGACGGTACACATTTTGTACATCATAAAGTTAGCTTATTACGTATAATTGACCATTATACACTTCTCAATACTTATATAATAGTATTATATGTCTCTGATTAAACCATGGCCAAATTATCTTTAATTTTGACATAGTTTATATTGCATGATATTCCGGTTTCAAACTATCATAGTATCTGTCAACAAGTAATTCAAAGAGGACGGATCACATGACCAAGTTAGTTCACATAGAATACCCAAGATTATTTACAATTAACTGCAATCTATTCTATTTTATAAATAAAATGCATGACTGTACCTTCAAACTGGATATCTATATCCATATGACATGTATGATAATTAATGAATAACAGAAGTGATTTGCAAATTTTATCCATAAGCACATGTTAAATCTATTTATATCTACTTCCTGTCATTTAGGCGGGAAAATAGGGAGACTTAGTTGTTGACATTGAATAGGGTTACTTATAGATCTATAGAACTAGGATAAATTTATAGATTTAGGAATTCTTTTTAAATGGATCATGACAAAAAGATTTAGATTTCAGTGCAGTATTAATCTATGTTTGATTATCACTAAAGACAAGAAAAGTTAATATTTACATGAAATCTAAGGCAAAATGTTTTGAAATTTATGAAAAATTTCTTTTTATTAAAATTTAAGATAGAAACTGGTTCAAATAATAATACAATATTTATTCTTGTTAATTTTATATCTCCTTATGACAGGAATCCTTTCACAATACAACATCTTTCATTCTAGAAATAAGAAAGTTTTTTAAATTGAACATTTTTGTTCTCTTTTGAATGATATTTTATTCTTATTGATCATTGATTTTATAAAAGATTTAATAACTTTAAATTTAGATGAATATTTTGTAATGTATCATGTTTTATTTATTTTAAAAAAATATTAAAGTAAACATGTCAAACTGTTTATTGATTTACTTCTTTTTTACCAATAATTTTCAATGTCTACATAACACAGTACCACAGCATTAAAACAAAACAGGAGACATAAAAACTACAGTTACTAGAAATATAGCTAAGCAATGCGACACGGCGCTACACAACTGATTGTATGAATCATTTCACCAAGCAGTCCACACGCGTTACCCTGGTGCTATGCAAAAATCCTGGGGAGAACACTGATTAAGAACACGACCAGGAATTTACATACAGTCAAACACATTGATAACACTGCCTTGGAGTTCATATACAGTCAAACTCATTAATTTGCATTGATAATATGGTGTTATAAACTGGCTGTTTCTGTATTGGCTGTGGAATAATTTGGCATCAAGACTCGAAGAGTAGAGAGCGATCGAGACTAATCAAGAATCTTAACCTGAGCAAATACTGAAACAATCAGTTTATATAGATATAAGAAGTGGTATGAGTGCCAATGAGACAACTCTCCATCCAAGTCAAAATTCATAAAAGTAAACCATTATAGGTCAAAGTACGGTCTTCAACACGGAGCCTTGGCTCACACCGAACAGCAAGCTATAAAGGCCCCCAAAAATTACTAGTGTAAAACCATTCAAACGGGAAAACTAACGATCTAATCTATATAAAAAACGAGAAACACTTATGAACCACATCAACAAACGACAACTACTGAACATCAGATTCCTGACTTAGGACAGGTGCAAACAATTGCAGCGGGTTTAAACGTTTTAATGGTACCAAACCTTCACCCTTATCTGAAACAATAGTGTAACATCACAACAAAGAAAGACACACTATAAAATATCAATTGAAATAGCTTAACTCAATCAAAAGACATATTAACACCAGTGAACATACACTGAACAAATAAATTTGATCTATGATACAATGTAAATACAAAATAAATAAACTAAGGGAAGAATAATTAAAGTAACATGTTATACCGCTGTGAAATGTTACACAACTTAAGAAAAACAATATGCTTGAACAAAAATATCAGCCATTTGCAATTACTTTAAACACAGGTAAATGAAAATAATTTTGTTGTTAGGTATACGTGTACAGTTCAAATGGAGAAAGGAAATATTTTTACAAAATAAATAATTTTGATGTTCATAGTACGAAGAAGTGAAAATTTATAGTAATTCCAAACACTTATCAAAGCTGGTATATCAAATAAAATCTCTTTATTTAATGATTCTACTTATTTGTTTAAAAAAAGAAACTTACTGTGACTTGTCTTTTATAGTGATTATAACAAAATTGAAAGTTCCCTTGGAGCTTTAAACAATCTGTTTTAAATGTTTTATAACTGTCATTTTTACCTAGTCCAGAACTAGCTGATCTTAACATTTCTATAGTATTTAGAGCTTGTGGTCGACCTTTGAACTTTTCCTCTTGTACAACCTTTGTAACTCTGTAAAAAAAATCATGATTTTACAACAGTTATGTAAATATTTAAGAAAGATAAGATAGGACAATCAAAAGTATAATATGAATTTCAACTTTGCTTTCAGTTAGAAAAAGATGATTGGCAATGTTTTTAACATGCTAGCTCATTAGTTGAGAGAGCAGCATCCCCATTCCAGTTTCAGCCGGCCAGTCTTTGCTCTTCTTCCTAATTGTTGAAGTTTACCTCTCACACTTGATGTATTAACACACCATATCTATATCATTAGACAATATAGGCAGTAACTTCTTTAAGAACATTTGTGTTACTTCTATGTTACAGACTTTGACTCTGACACAGGCTTACCTTTTTGAGTCAGCAGGTTTTATCATACTGAGGAATACTTGAGCTACTTCCTTAGATGTGATAGGATGAAATAAATGTATAGAATAACAGAACAACTTAGTAATTTGGTGAGAAAAACATCAATTAAAATCAAAACTCAAACTAAACCTGCAGCTCAGCACCATACATATATATAAATATAAAAACTGCATAGTATCTTCAGACATTATAACAAGAGGCCCCCAGGAGCCTGAATTGATCACCTGGTAAACATTTGCCATTTTGACATTTGTTTTGTAAATCTTATTTAGTGGTATTGTAGATCTTGTATCGATGAACATCTTTACTGTTTAGTTTATACCTAGCTATTAAATTTTAGAGATACTTGGCAAAATTTTAAAAATTATAAAAATAGATATATTAGGGACTATTACTCCATAACAAGTAGACAAATTCTCCTCCAATTTTCAGGGTTGACTAGAAGTTCGTGACTGAATTGAAGTACCTGTGCCTTATTTTTAGCCTGGATTTTTAGTATTCGTATTGTCATCTGATAAAGTCATGCTGATTATAAGGTGCACAGTTTTCTCTGCTTTCAAAATATTTCTGTTTGAACTCGTCATCCTGGAACTTGTTAATTATTAGTAATATTAATTATGTGGAAAACAAAAGGGCATCGAATGGTGTATTTTTTAATCAACACCATTGTCCTATATTAGTTATATATAATGTTGAATTCTTTGATTCGTCGTTTTAACTTCATGCTGGCTTACAAATTGAGCCTCATTATTTTAGTAGTATAGATATATCTGGTCATGATGATCCTTTTTGCTGTTTAAACATTTAACCTTGCTCCTATAGTTTTTTGAATTACAGCCCAAAACTATAAAAATGATATTTAAGGGCAATAATTTCAACATAGGTTGACAGATTTCCTCCAATTCTGAGGGTAGATACTTGTCCATGTTGTCATGCTGATCCTTTTGGCATTCACAATTTTAACCTAGCTCCTAAAGTTTTTACAATAACAGCCAATAACTGATAAAAGTTTGGGGAAAATTGGATATTTCAGGGGCAATAACTTCAAAACACGTTGTTAAATTTTTCTGCGGGTGTATGCAATTTGTTATGCTGATCATTTTGGCATTTTACACTTTTAAGCAAGCTCCTATAGGAGTAATATCACCATTGTTTTTCCCCTATTTGTCTTGGTTAAATTGGTGTTTTTCAAAAAAATGTGCAGAATTTATCCTTTTTTCAAATGAAGAACTACTTTGCATGAGTTAACTTTTATCATGTCCAGTACTAGAGTGAAAACTTCACATAACATTTCATTGCATATATAAGATATAATAACAATCACCGGAAGTTAACCAATCACATTTGCACCTTTTCCTGTTTACAAGCTTTGTCAACTCAAGTTTCCAAAATGGTTTATAGAAATTCCAAATAAAAAAAGAATGGTGTTTGAAACACCCAATATATATGTTTATCATGTTTATGACTCAGAATCTATTTACAACAATGAAATGTAGGATTAGTTTCCTACAACTGTCAAATTCAAGGGAATATTTTTTTTGTTAACCCTTTTTGTATGAAACCGGATGTGACGTACCATGATTTGGTGGTATTACATCTATAGTTTTTGAAACAACGACAAGGAAATGCAAAAAAGTTAGTATTAAACAGTTCAGGGGCAATAACACCAAAACAGAAGGGCAGATTTTCCAAAAATTTTCAAGGTAGATAGAACTTGATGTGCTGACCCTGTCAATTTTTCTCTATTTGCTATAGTTTTAGAAATATAAGCCAAAACTATAATGTGACCCCTTTGTTCTATTTTTAGACAGGTAGCCCACGAAAATCAAAAACTTTATAGAAGAAACAGACAAACTTTGATTTCAATCTATAGAGCGGTTTGAGAGGAGTATATTTTACGGACGGCAGACAGACACAAAGTGATAGCAAAAGCTCACATGGCCCTTTTGGCTAAAAACCTTCATTTAAAGGCACTAAATCCTATAAAGAATCAGACTATATGGCCATGTTGACTTACTTGTAGATCAATTATTGCTTTTCAAAGTTGACAAAATGCAATGTTCCCATTTACACACAATGAGGTACATTTGTACATATTTTGACCCTGCACTGGTAAAGCATCAGTGAAAGATGTTGTACAGCTTTTTATGTAAATGGAAATAATCAATGCTTAAATTTTGTATCATTATTCTCAAGTGGTTTCGCCAAAATATTAGTACTGCCCAAACAGCTACACCCGTACTGGGTACTACACCGGTGGTCTATTCCAGTCTTACCTTGCTGAGTCAGCAGATTTTATCATATTAAGGAACATCTGTGCTACTTCTTTATCAAAGATTCTGACTCTGTCCCAATCCAGATAAATACTACGTCCACCAGGGTGAGCTATCTGTAATATGGACCATATTTTACAGTAGATTTCACATACAAATGGTCTCTTAGGTGACAAATCTGTTTACTGTTGTAAATAAGGCTTTTAGTTTATTCATTTGAATTGTCTTACATTTTTCATGTCTTCCCTTTGCCTATATAACCAAGTTCAATCACTCTGATATTTTACTACTATGTATTCATTATTTTACATTGGATACCAATTTTCATGGGTATTGTGGTAACCCGGAAATTTTTTCTATTGTAATTTATGAAGAATTTAGCGATACAACAAAATCAAATATCAACAAAAATGCAAGTTTTCCTCAATCCACAAAAATTGGTACCCACAAAATAAATGAATATACAATATACCGTATATCTGTTTTTTTCCCCTTTGTTCGCGGCACCTACAGAAACTTGAAAATTTGACTCACGTAAATTTCCCTGCCTATTCCTAGATTTACACCTGTTCTTAAAACCTTTCATAGATAAAACTGTTAATTATAGAGTTTACATTAAAATTATATGTACACTCATTTAACCCTCAAGGTGACATTACATTTTTATATAAAATCAGTCTTTTGTGTTGATTGGAAGATCAAAAGAGTATGTTTAATTAATTAAGATATCTATTTTTTTTAATAATTAAATTTGCTAATACATTTCATATCTTTTGACAACACAGAAGTTAGTTACATGTTCAAAAATTGTTAATTACCAACGTCTATTGATTGTTGTCATAACCCGAAAATTTTGCATTTAGTGTAAAAATTCAATTAAAATAAATCACATTTTAACGGATATTTACATAATTATGCTTTCAAAATTATCTGTTATACTTGCACAAACTTGATTAAAATCATCATTTTTGACCATGCCATAATGGACATGATGAAAGATCTCTGAATATGTGTATTTTAGTTTGTAATACACATATATATATATATATTATATGAAATCGATTATCTGCCAGTCATTTATAATTAAGTTTTATTTTAGCGAAAATTATACACAGCGAAAAATTTAACCTTCCTATTTTGCCATCAAATTGTGAAAAAAAGCTGATGCGAAAAAAAAACGATATACGGTATCTTTTGTTTACCATCAGCCAATATATATGTTTAAATCCAAATCATTTGAACTCTTGTGTTCATAGTTGTCTCATTGGCAATCAATCACGTCTTCTTACTTTCATCAATGAGACTAACCTGTAAGTTAATGACCCAGTAAGCCTCTGGTTTAAAAGATTGTATTTTATCATGTCTGTCCACACAGAATCCTAAGGTAGGTGTTTGGCAGGGTCCATAAGATATCAGGGTACTGTCTAAATCTCCATATTTACCCTACAAATATAATACTACAGATATCAGGGTACTGTCTAAATCTCCATATTTACCCTACAAATATAATACTACAGATATCAGGGTACTGTCTAAATCTCCATATTTACCCTACAAATATAATACTACAGATATCAGGGTACTGTCTAAATCTCCATATTTACCCTACAAATATAATACTACAGATATCAGGGTACTGTCTAAATCTCCATATTTACCCTACAAATATAATACTACAGATATCAGGGTACTGTCTAAATCTCCATATTTACCCTACAAATATAATACTACAGATATCAGGGTACTGTCTAAATCTCCATATTTACCCTACAAATATAATACTACAGATATCAGGGTACTGTCTAAATCTCCATATTTACCCTACAAATATAATACTACAGATATCAGGGTACTGTCTAAATCTCCATATTTACCCTACAAATATAATACTACAGATATCAGGGTACTGTCTAAATCTCCATATTTACCCTACAAATAAAATACTACAGATATCAGGGTACTGTCTAAATCTCCATATTTACCCTACAAATATAATACTACAGATATCAGGGTACTGTCTAAATCTCCATATTTACCCTACAAATAAAATATCAACAGATCTATTAAGTTAAAAAGGAGAGGTGAAGTGTAACGAAAGGCAATGGTCTTCATTTATTTAAATGTTTGTTGACTAATACGTTGACTGTCTGTTGTTTTCTAGTCTGCAGAATAGTTGTTTTCTGGTTTTCATAGTACTCATTCCTTTTTGTTTAAGATATATTTGACTCTTATGGATAAAAACTAATATCTTCATAAATAGTAATTTCATTTTGCCTTATGGATTAAACAGATGGGAGAACAATCCTTTTTCATATCCTCACACAAAATATAACTATTATTTAGGAATTGACTACATTATATTGGGACATTGTTTTCATTGTAAATGAATTAAGTGGTACTTTACCTGAAAGAATTTAGTTTGATATCTGGTAAAGGCACATCATTACCTGAAAGAATTTAGTTTGATATCTGGTAAAGGCACATCCAATTCTCAAGTCTAGTTCCTGTCTGGCATCAACAGATAAAGCTTCATTTTTATTTGGTTCACCAAGTCTATTCATGGCACCTTTTATATCTTTGTCCGTAATAGCACTGAACTTTGCCCTGTAAACTGTCTGAAATACAACAGATACTCCTTGTTTTATTTCCAATGTCAATATTGCATACATCAATATATAATTGGAAGGTTGCCAATAAGTAAGTTTCTGACAGTACACTGCTGTTTGATAATAAAATAGTTAACACTGCATGACAAAAGGAACCAAACTATTAACAAAAATATACAATTAGTACATTAAATTTTACAATCACCCAGACATCTAAACTTCAATACAAAGTCTATTTATTTCATTGTCTTATGTAATTACTAGTTAAAGGCAAAAATAACCCAGAAATTCATAAGCAGAGATTTAAAGTTAGAACTGCATGTTCCCTGGATCAAGTTATGCCCCCTCATAGATATTATAGAACTGCATGTTCCCTGATTCACATTATGCTCCATCATAGATATTATAGAACTGCATGTTCCCTGATTCATGTTAAGCTCCATCATAAATATTATAGAACTGCATGTTCCCCCATTCATGTTATGCTCCATCAGAGATTTTATAGAACTGCAAGTTCTCTGATTCACATTAAGCTCCATCACATATATTATAGAACTGCATGTTCCCTGATTCATGTTATGCTCTATCATAGAGGTGTAATACCACCAAATCATAGTACGTCACATCCGGTTGCATACGAAAATAGGTCGAAAAAAAATATCCCCTTGAATTTGACAGTTGTAGATAATTGATCCTACATTTCATTGCAGTAAAACATTTCTGGGTCATAAACATATATCTTGGGTATTTCAAAGCACCATTTTTTTTTTATTTGGGGTTTCTATAGAATATTTTGGAAACTTGAGGTTACATGGTTACTAAAGCTTGTACACAGGTTAAAAAAGGGGGAAAATTTGATTGGTTAACTTCCAGTGATGGTTATTTTCTTATATGCAATGAAATGTTATGTGAAATTTTTTCTATAGTACTGGACAGGATCAAACTTTACTCATGCCAAGTATTTCTTTATTTGAAACAAAGATAAATTCTGCACAATTTTTTGAAAAGTGCAAATTTAACAAAGACTAATAGGGGAAAATCAATGGTGGTATTACACCTAATATGGGAAGCTGTACATGCACCTTTGACCTTGTGAGTACTCTCATGTGTTAAAATTTCTTGCTATTTAAGTGAAATATTACTAATAATGAAATATTCTGAGTGGATTGAGTCTCCAAAACACATTTTATGAGAAAATTTCCTTGAAATAGGACTTTACCATGAATATTAGTTGACAGAATAAGCCATACTTAGAGTTTTGGGGAGCTTTTTCTCCTTTTTTCTTATATTCTGCTATACTAGAAAAATTTTCCTAAGAAATACTTTAATAAATATATAGTTTTAAGTAAATGAAATTATTTTTAAAGCAGTAACAACAAATTATTCACCAAAAAAAGCTTTTTATGTCCCTCTCTGGAACGCGGCGTAAATTTAAGTTTTACGTAAGGACTTATGGAAACCTCCTTGGAGACAGTAAACTTTTATACGAATAGTTCATTCAGCTTGAATACTTCAATTAATCATTTATTATAACATTTCTATCATAAATGAGTGAAAGTTACCCCAAAATTTTTATTTATTGGCCTATAAAGTAGAAATTTTGAGTAAATGAGAGGTATAAATGGACCAAAAGAGACCTTATAAAGAAGACAAAGAGGTCCATTAGTAGTATTTATCATCCTAAAGTCATCTTTTGTATCACATTCAACTGTTTGTAGGCAGATGAGATAAATATTTGATCATTTATTGGTCCACACTATATTCTATCATGATGCGGCTTGGTTTGGATTTTTCGAAGAAATTTAGCTCGAATCGCTGTAGATGTCGTCTTACATTATACTAGATTTTTCTCAAACTATTGAACTGATTATGACAAAACTTGACAGGAATGCTTGAAATAACCAGTATTACAAAGGACAAAAAGTCACATTCAGTTTATTTAACAAAAAAGTCTTCTTTAGGTGTAATACCACCAAATCATAGTACGTCACACCCGGTTGCATACGAAAATAGGTCGAAAAAAAATATTCCCTTGAATTTGACAGTTGTAGATAATTGATCCTACATTTCATTGCAGTAAAACATTTCTGGGTCATAAAAATATATCTTGGGTATTTCAAAGCACCATTTTTTTTTTATTTGGGGTTTCTATAGAATATTTTGGAAACTTGAGGTTACATGGTTACTAAAACTTGTACACAGGTTAAAAAAGGGGGAAAATTTGATTGGTTAACTTCCAGTGATAGTTATTTTCTTATATGCAATGAAATGTTATGTGAAATTTTTTCTATAGTACTGGACAGGATCAAACTTTACTCATGCCAAGTATTTCTTTATTTGAAACAAAGATAAATTCTGCACAATTTTTTGAAAAGTGCAAATTTAACAAAGACTAATAGGGGAAAATCAATGGTGGTATTACACCTAGATATTATAGAACTGCATGTTCCATGATTCACGTTATGCTCCATCATAGTTATTATAGAACTGCATGTTCCCTGATTCACGTTATGCTCCATCATAGATATTATAGAACTACCTGTTCTCTGATTCACATTATGCTCCATCATAGATATTATAGAACTGCATGTTCCCTGATTCATGTTATGCTCTATCAAAGATATTATAGAACTGCATGTTCCCTGATTCATGTTATGCTCCATCATAGATATTATAGAACTGCATGTTCTCTGATTCATGTTATGCTCCATCATAGATATTATATAACTGCATGTTCCCTGATTCATGTTATGCTCCATCATAGATATTATAGAACTGGATGTTCTCTGATTCATGTTATGCTCTATCATAGATATTATAGAACTGGATGTTCTCTGATTCATGTTATGCTCCATCATAGATATTATATAACTGCATGTTCCCTGTTTCATGTTATGCTCCATCATAGATATTATAGAACTGCATGTTCCCTGATTCACATTATGCTCCATCATAGATATTATAGAACTGCATGTTCCCTGATTCATGTTATGCTCCATCATAGATATTATAGAACTGCATGTTCTCTGATTCATGTTATGCTCCATCAGAGATATTATAGAACTGCATGTTCCATGATTCATGTTATGCTCCATCAGAGATATTATAGAACTGCATGTTCCCTGATTCATGTTATGCTCCATCATAGATATTATAGAACTGCATGTTCTTGATTCATGTTATGCTCCATCAGAGATATTATAGAACTGTTGTAATAAACTCACTTTGCAATAATCTGTGATAATCAGTTCATATTTTTTAAAATGTGACAATCTAGGTTGTAATGGACCCACCTATTCAATCCTTTATAAGAATTAGATACTGACCTGTCCAATTCCCAGGTTCATACTTTGTAGAATTAGATACTGACCTGTCCAATTCCCCGATTCATACTTTGTAGAATTAGATACTGACCTGTCCAATTCCCCGATTCATACTTTGTAATATTAGATACTGACCTGTCCAATTCCCCGGTTCATACTTTGTAGAATTAGATACTGACCTGACCTATTCCCTGGTTCATACTTTGTAGAATTAGATACTGACCTGTCCAATTCCCCGGTTCATACTTTGTAGAATTAGATACTGACCTGTCCAATTCCACGGTTCATACTTTGTTCTACACATTCCATTACTTCAAAACAAATGTTTTCTCCTTCCTTGTCACAATCTAACCATAACACCAGGAAATCTACACCTCTGCCCTGTAAAGAAATAAAGCTATTATGATGACAGTAATCTTATCAAGAAAAAACAACACCAAAAACTACACAAGTAATCTTATCAAGAAAAAACAACACCAAAAACTACACCAGTAATCATATTAAGAAAAAACAACACCAAAAACTACACCAGTAATCTTATCAAGAAAAAACAACACCAAAAACTACACAAGTAATCTTATTAAGAAAAAACAACACCAAAAACTACACAAGTAATCTTATCAAGAAAAAACAACACCAAAAACTACACAAGTAATCTTATTAAGAAAAAACAACACCAGTAATCTTATCAAGAAAAACCAACACCAAAAACTACACAAGTAATCTTATTAAGAAAAAACAACACCAAAAACTACACAAGTAATCTTATTAAGAAAAAACAACACCAAAAACTACACAAGTAATCTTATCAAGAAAAAACAACACCAGTAATCTTATCAAGAAAAAACAACACCAAAAACTACACAAGTAATCTTATTAAGAAAAAACAACACCAAAAACTACACCAGTAATCTTATCAAGAAAAACCAACACCAAAAACTACACAAGTAATCTTATTAAGAAAAAAACATCACCAAAAACTACACAAGTAATCTTATTAAGAAAAAACAACACCAAAAACTACACAAGTAATCTTATCAAGAAAAAACAACACCAAAAACTACACAAGTAATCTTATTAAGAAAAAACAACACCAAAAACTACACAAGTAATCTTATTAAGAAAAAACAACACAAAAAACTACACCAGTAATCTTATCAAGAAAAACCAACACCAAAAACTACACAAGTAATCTTATTAAGAAAAAACAACACCAAAAACTACACAAGTAATCTTATTAAGAAAAAACAACACCAAAAACTACACAAGTAATCTTATCAAGAAAAAACAACACCAGTAATCTTATCAAGAAAAAACAACACCAAAAACTACACAAGTAATCTTATTAAGAAAAAACAACACCAAAAACTACACAAGTAATCTTATTAAGAAAAAACAACACCAAAAACTACACCAGTAATCTTATCAAGAAAAACCAACACCAAAAACTACACAAGTAATCTTATTAAGAAAAAACAACACCAAAAACTACACAAGTAATCTTATTAAGAAAAAACAACAGCAAAACTACACTCTTCTAAAAATGTACAACAACACTGGACTTGTACATGTATTAAACGAATGATCATCCAAAGATGGTACAGAACAAATACACCACTTTTTTTTTCTCTCAAAAAAATTGTTTTAAGTGCTTAAGTTAGTCAAAAACTAAACACTCTATAGTAAATTCAATGTTTGTATTATATCAATCATAATAGGTTTAGGACTAAACTTCACATTTTTAAGTAATAAAATGACTTTTAAAAAAGAGAAATGATTATAGGATCTTTGAAAACAAGAATGCACATGTATTCGTGCTAAGCATACTGCCATTCATTATTTAAAAGTATACAGGAAGTCAGTGTCTGACAGTCGTGCTAAGCATACTGCCGTTCATTATTTAATAGTATACAGGAAGTCAGTGTCTGACAGTCATGCTAAGCATGCTAAGCATACTGCCGTTCATTATTTAAAAGTATACAGGAAGTCAGTGTCTGACAGTCATGCTAAGCATACTGCCGTTCATTATTTAAAAGTATACAGGAAGTCAGTGTCTGACAGTCGTGCTAAGCATACTGCCATTTGTTATTTAAAAGTATACAGGAAGTCAGTGTCTGACAGTCGTGCTAAGCATACTGCCATTTGTTATTTAAAAGTATACAGGAAGTAGGTTTCTGACAGTCGTGCTAATCATACTGCCATTCGTTATTTAAAAGTATACAGGAAGTCAGTGTCTGACAGTCGTGCTAAGCATACTGCCATTCGTTATTTAAAGTATACAGGAAGTCAGTGTCTGACAGTCGTGCTAAGCATACTGCCATTTGTTATTTAAAAGTATACAGGAAGTCAGTGTCTGGCAGTCGTGCTAAGCATACTGCCATTTGTTATTTAAAAGTATACAGGAAGTCAGTGTCTGACAGTCGTGCTAAGCATACTGCCATTCGTTATTTAGAATTATACAGGAAGTCAGTGTCTGACAGTCGTGCTAAGCATACTGCCATTGGTTATTTAGAATTATACAGGACGTCAGTGTCTGACAGTCGTGCTAAGCATACTGCCATTTGTTATTTAAAAGTATACAGGAAGTTGGTGTCTGACAGTCATGCTAAGCATATTACCGTTCATTATTTAAAAGTATACAGGAAGTCAGTGTCTGACAGTCGTGCTAAGCATACTGCCATTTGTTATTTAAAAGTATACAGGAAGTAGGTTTCTGACAGTCGTGCTAAGCATACTGCCATTTGTTATTTAAAAATATACAGGAAGTCAGTGTCTGACAGTCGTGCTAAGCATACTGCCATTTGTTATTTAAAAATATACAGGAAGTCAGTGTCTGACAGATCCAAAAGAAATTTATATGTTGCAGCTTATACAACTCATCACTTTTAAGCCTCTGACTTAATCTGATTATTCTGTTCAGTAGTACTTGATAAAAGTGTGACAATTTTTTATTAAGTTTATTGTAAATATTGAATTTAAGAATTGGGCTTTTTAAATATTAGTAATAGATTCAAGCAACTAAGACTCAATCATGTTTTCAACATTTTTAACAATATATGCCCAAATTATTTACATACTAATTTTGTTAAAAATGAAACATCTTTCAATACAAGATCTAGTAGTAAAAACTTTTATATACCAGGAATTAAAGGGTGTGAATCTACCACTTTCTTGTATAATTGAATAAAAGACTGGAATTCGTTACCAGACATGATTAAAAGTTGCTCTAAAAAATATAATTTTAAAGTACCAGTGAAAAAGTTTTTGATGGATAAATTTAAATCCATCTTCAATAGTGAATTTGTGTTTTATTAATTATACTTGGGCTTTGACCATTTATCTGTGATAAATTCTAAATGATTTGTGCTTGTATTTTTCTATGTGTCAACCCTTGGTGTAAACTGGATGTCTCGTTATAAAAGGACCCCACTGGAAATAAGTTTTAATAACTTTTGTGGGTCATCCTTAGATATTAGGCTACAGTGAAAATCTAGTCAATTTAAATTTCACTCATTATTAAATCTAGTCTATTCATATTATCAAAATATCATGAAAATTTTCATAATTTTACTTTTTAAATTAAAATTTTTAGTAAACATGTATATCATTTTAGTGTCTATAAACTATGTCTAGTGCTATATCTGTGTCTTTGTAATATTTTGTATCTGTCAAATTCATGCCTTTTTATCTTGAATAAATATATATATATATATATACTGGAAAATTAAAAGTATTGGCAAACAGGAAGTAGGTGTCTAACAGATTAGAAAGTTACAAGTCTTCAATGTCAAGCTGCTAACTAAATCAAGTCATTCTGTTCAGTAAGGACTTCACAAAAGTGTGAAGAAAAATTTAAAATTCATTCAATGTATATGCAAACAGGAAGAAGTTGTCAGATCTGAAAAGTGCTCACATGTTACAACTCGACACTGTCAAGCAGCTAACCAAATATAAAGTCATTTCGTTGAGCAGTTTCTACAAAAAGATAGCAGTTTTCAAGATACATGTAATAGTAAAAAAATTTGTTTTTTACCCCTATGTTATATTTTCAGCCATGTTGGCCATTTTGGTTGGCCAGCAGGGGGCCAAAGACCACAATTAATGATCCCGCTTTTCGTTGTCCACGAATATAGTTCCTTTTAATTAGAGTGTATTTTTTCTTAATTTTTTTCTTTTCCTTCCTCACTCATTTCTTAGATTTTTTTGGATGGAAATGAAAGAAGAGAGGTGAAATAAACTTTTGGATGTTGTATTTTAACTGATTTTGATATGGAAAGAGTGATTAGGCCAGGTGCAAAAAGGTGATATTTACAGTTTTCGGAACATCTCTTGACTTGTCCATAGGGGTATGGATGTGTATTGGCTAAATTTTTAAGATGCTGGGGAGCGATATTTCTGAATGTTTGATATATGTTTGGACTAGTACTGTACTTTACACACACAAAATATTTGACAAAAAGAACCGGTGCATTTTTTTTCATGAAACAAAACGTTATGAAGAACTAATAGAGAATTTAATTGTGGTCTGTGGCCTAAGAGGTGAAATTCTGGAAATATTGAATTTGTACTTTGACAACTTCCCTGAATGATCTATTGGTATTAATTTGTCAAACTACATGAAAATAAATGATTTCCACTTTTATTTGATAGAAATTTTGTAAAAAAGTGACATTTCAGCCTACATGCCCAAAATTGAACTTTTTCAGTTGTTTCAATATTTTTACAAAAGTAGCATGCTTACTTTCTCTCTGACAGGTTTTTCTGATTTTCTACTTGTGTTTGTGGTATCTAATGTAGATGTTTAACTCATTTTTGAACACTAAACATACAAAAAAAGTAGATAAAATCAGAATAAGAGTGCAAAATGTGCTGCTTTAATGGTCCTAGTCTAACGGTCAGTATGAAGCAAGTGAAAAATGAGGTTCTATGCACATACAAGTTGAATTCCTTTTAGCAGATTTCACTGAATCTGTATCAAAAGCACTTATTACTGGTTGTTTGACCTTGTCTGTTTCACAGACTACCTTTATTTTCTTTTGTTTGATAGCTAGTGGTTAAATATTGGCCTTTTGAGGCTGAAATTTCATGCCGGTTTTAAAAAGTAAAGTAAATAACTTTGCATCAGATCATACTGTCTACATATATAGTTGAAAGTGACAGTCTTGTTACATCCAGGCTCCATGTTTTATCATATCTGAGCAAAGATTTGAGCAAAAAGAAGCATATCTCCATCTCCCATATCATTTATATGCTTTTTAATATACAAATGTGGGGAACGACCTAAATTGACAACCTGTTTTTTTAAGCTTGACATTGCTGAAGACCATTTTATTCACATGTGTTATGCTATTTGAAACTTATATTTCCATTAAAAGTACATT